GACACCGTCTTGCTGCTCTCGTCGTCCCCGGGCGCGGAGGAGGCGATGGAGTACAAGCGAATCTTTGCTGGGGTCTCGCCCTTCTTGTCCGGGCCCGGCGCGATCACCCCAATGGATTGGCCTTCGATGTAGGGCACCTTGCCGCCGTGGTCCATGATCACATGGCACGTCTCCCAGTTCACCAGAGGCGTCTTGCTGGTGATGGTCTCCTTGGACACGCAGCTGCCCTCGTATGGTGCCTTGGGGCTGAAGAGGTTCCAGGGAATCTCCTCACGAAGCTCGACACCGAGATCAATGCACAAACTTCCAGCCGGATGCATGTCTTTAGTCCTATGACGTGTGGCTACTACTGCACCACCTCAAAGCCGCTGAACTGCGACACCCATCCATGTCCTTGCCCTCCACCACTCGCACACCTTTTTTCTTCACCTCATGGAGTGCAATGGCCCCTAGAAGACGAATCTTCTGCTTATGCGTGGCCAGGACACAGCCGTGGCCCGACGACGCAGCAGCGCCCCACGCCCTACCACTGCAGCAGCAGCCACTGCCCCAGCGGCCAGGGTCCTCGGCTAGTCTCATTGTCAGACAAAAGACAACAGCGCCCTGCAGTGTGACCGCAACTTGTCCTGCTTGAACCTCCCCAGGTAGACGCCGCAGCTGCAGCTCCGGTGCCCCTCAAGGCTGGTGAGCTTTCGGCCTTTGGTAGTATGGTAATGAGCAGTGACTTCTGAGGCAAAATTGCGAGACATTCACCTTCAAGTGCCAGAACGAAGGTTGCGGACCTGGACGGGCTTGGAGGCCACGAATGCTTCGCTGCCCAGGCCAATGGCAGCTGCACCCAAAGCCGCGATCACCGGGGCGTCCTTTTGTGAGTTTCGGTGCACGTCATCGTCTCGCTCCCTTTTTGCATCCAAGTCATCCAAGTGTCGCGAGCGCAAGGCATTTCAGGAATAGCTGAGGACACGGAGGATTTGCTGCGCTTGGACCGGAGCTGCGAGATGCTGCGAGTGATAGAAATGAGCAACCTACACACATCAGGATGCAGCCGCTGCATCGGTTCTTTCCGTCACTAGAACCATGGTGGTGGGGCACCTTGCGAGTGAAGGCGACGACTTGCAGTGGAGGCCAGTGCAAGGTTCAGCAAATCTATGGCTTGGAGGTTCTTGCAGACGAAGCCCAGTACCTGCAATGTCACTGGCTGGTGCCTTGTGATACTACTTCACCGGCTGGCACCTGCTGTAGGGGCACATTGTCGTCTGCTCTGGAGACGAAGGTGGGAAAACTCGACATCTAAAGTTGAGCCAGTAAACGACTTTGCACACCCAAGACTGCAACGGATCTTGGTGCGCTCATGCTGCGAGCCCAACATCGAGTTGTTGTGTAATGTTGTAAATCTTTGCTTGCTATCTCTTTTGCAGCGAGTTGTGGTGTCAGAGTTGGACTCGTTTCTCCGGCCACATGAGGGATCACCAGCACGTTGTGTTTTCTTGCTGGTTCTGCAGCTGCAGCTGCCATCTGCAAGGCGATTTCTGACTCTACGATCAGTGGCACTCTGCAGGCTGGGTCACACTTACAAAGAAGTGGTGCAGTTCTTGGGCTGCCGGAGCCTGGCAGACATGTGTCGCCTTTTTTTTGAGCATTCCACCGTCGCTGTTCGTGGGAATGCGCGTGAGACATGAGGCCCTAAAGCGAGCTCAAACAAGGATGGCTTGGGCATCACCATCTTCGAGGTCCTTGCATGTAGGGCGGCTCCCTGACTTAAGAAGAGCAAGGTAGGCACTGAACATGTGGGTCTTAGAGAAACACTGTTTGCAGGCAATCGTGCTCAAGTGCACTGGGCCGTGCAACTCGCACGTATCACAGCCCGCCGCTTTCGGTTGGTTCAGCCAGCTACAGTTTGCTCCCGGAAGCTCTCCGAATGCGAGGAATCGGAGTGGGTCGAACTCGTTGTAAAGAGATACAGACTTCCAGTAAGGCAGCTGCTTCGGGTCAACCGAAGTGCGCTTCTTGAGCACAGGCAGGATTGGCGGAGCAGCAAAAGAGAGCACAGGTGCTCCCCTCACAGCACCAACCACACTTGCCAACTCTGCACCGAGGGAATGGCCAGTGTACAGCCACTCCACCGTCGGGTGCACTTGCGCGGCTTTCTGGGCCAACTCGAGAGCACGGGAAAGATAGTCGAGCTGGAAGGCCGTGAATTGATCGCAATACTTGGGCAGCGGATGCCCTGCTAACTCGGCATTTGCGCAGGAATCTGCTTGTGCACTTCGGCCCGTTCCCAAGTCCGTACCACGAAATGCGAGGACGCCACGTCCTGAGCTCAGCTGGACGAAGGTCAAAGCCCTCATCCCTTCTTCCGGGGTAGCCTCTGGCCACATGCGCACCCATCCTTCCACGGACTTGTTCTGTGCCGACGGTTTGTAGTAGGAGCCCGAAGTTGCTGTGTATGTCAGGACCGTCATGCTGGCAAAAGGGTTCACAAAAGCTAGAAAATCGGCATCAGGACGGGAGAGAAATTCCAGTGAGGCTGGCCAGCCAAGCGGCCAGCCAACCTCGGCCCAACAGCCAGGAAGACAAAGCAGGAAGAAGAAGAGGAGTGAAGCCCTCATGCTGAGAGCGGGCTGAGATTTTTTACTCTCTGTACATGACGTCTTAGTTCTTGGGCCGATGCGATGTTCCGATGCCGAGTTCCAATGCTCAGCAACTGGTAGCAGCCCTGCATCAAGTCTAAAGATGCTTCAAGCTTTCGGCGCAACGAGATAACGAGACTTTTTGTCAGAGGCCCGCGTGATGGAGTCGGAGGCAGGGAGTAAGCAGCCACACTGCTGCATGGTAGAGCCATAAATCTCTTTGACAAGGGCCGGGGTTGACCTGCTGCCGGAAAGGAGGTGTGACTTGGTGCGACTTGTTCTGACATGCTCGGACAACCCTGGCAACCCCGAACTGCCCGAACTCTGTGTCGGGCTTGCGACGCCTCCGGCCCTGGTCTCGCGCCGCTAGTCTGTCCAAATTGGGAAACAGCAAGAGCCACTATTGCTCAAAGCTCCACAAGACCCCAAAAGAGCGGAGGAAGCTCCGGTAGCAGCATCAGACGGGTTGCTGTTTCTCGCTGCCACAGAGCACCCTAGCTCTCCTTCTTAAAAGCACGTGACGAGTAGAATGATCTAAAAAGCCCAACTGCAGTTTTGCAGGGCCCACTAGCTCTTGATTTGAGCACCAACATGACATAGAGCCATGCCCCAAAGTAGAAATCGCAGCTCTCCAATCAATGCACAACACATGCCGGCATATGGAATAGCCAACTTGCCTGGCTGCTGAATACAGGAGATACTGCAGACTAACCCAGCATGCATCAAATTGGCACATTGGACGGCCTAGCTTGCTGAGAGCTCCTGGGCGAGTGCGAACGCTTCTACTCGACTTGAGGGTGCCCACAGATCCTACAACCCCATACAGCTTCCCAGTCCTGGGCAACCCATCCGTCGCCCTGCAGCCATGCGTGAACTGTACTGATTCAAGCCGACAATCTATTTCATACATAGGCACATACATACATACATACATACATACATCCATGCATGCATGCATGCATGCATGCATGCATGCATGCATACATACGTACACACATACCTCTACCCACACTCTCTGTATACATGACGATATATGTTATAGAATATCTATGTATGTATATATATATAGTATCTAACAATTTATTCTTGTATGTGACATATGTTTACTCATGTGTAGATTTATCGACATTGAGCACATGCGCATGTATACTGACTTGCGAACATCGACGAAAGACAGACATGGAGAGGGGCACAGAACACTCGCGCACGCACCGATAGGCAGACAAACAGAATAAACAGACTTTGCAGCTTTTGCCAGCCATGCCTCGGACTTCTCAGATCGCTTTGCGGCCACAGCAGACCAGTCCTGTCTCCGTAACCGAAAACAGGTCGTGGACAGCGGGTGTTCATCGTGATGGGTGGTTGCACGCACGTCATGGTTGATGTGGTCGTCGTCGTCCTAATAAACGTAGCCGATAATAGCAGTGGCACTAGCAATAGCCGTAGCTTTTGCAATCCAGTAGTGAAACCAGCCAGCAGCAGCAGAAGCATCGGCAGCGGTGCGGTAGCATCAGCAGTAGGAGTCGTAGGAGACATCGTCGTAGTAAAAGTAGTAGTAGTAGTAGTAGTAGAAGTAGTAGTAGTAGTAGTAGTAGTAGTAGTAGGCGCCCCCCCGCCTACCAACTACCTCTGCTGCCAACCCTCTTAAGAGCACGTTCGTTTTACTTGGTACTTACGGTACGTTCGTCCGGTCACACC